GCCTCTGTAGTTATCACACTTTCTGAGATCGCCTTTCTTTGGTATTTTGATCAGGTGTCCTACTTTTCAGTCTGTCGGTACTTGTTCATCCCAAATCTTGCTGAAGAAAATGTGGAGTATCTTTGCAGTTACTGCTACATCTGCTTTCAGAGCCTCTGCTGGAATGTTGTCTGGTCCTGCTGCTCTGCCACTCTTGATTTGTCGGTTGGCTGTGCTGGTCTCTTCAATTGTTCGTGGGCCAACATCGATTGGGAGGTCAGTGAGTGCTACATCGATGATGGGTGGGTTCAGTGGAGCTGCCACCGAATGCCTTGGTACGGCCGAAGGTGGGGAGAGTCAGCTCTCCCTCTCGAAATGCTCTCACATGGCAACGCGTATGCAGCTACTGCCAAGGAAGTGCTACACATTGCCTTCCCGAGGCAGGAGTGTTGTTTACTAAATTGAGAGGACGAAAAGAGAATGTTCGGCCTTTAGGTCGAAGGCTCCGGGCGTGGCTCCCTAAAAAATCCACCTGCTTCGGTCTGGGCACCCAGACAGTATCACAGCCCACACACAAATCAAGTGACTTGTGTGGTGCATATGTATCTGGTGCACCCTTGTACCAATATTTATGTGTTCAAATTAATATATAAGTCAGTGGAGCTGGTCGATTCAAGAGTTCTTTGAAGTGTTTTACCCGCCTGTTTCGCTGTTCTTAAATGTTGGTGATTACTTTGCCCTCCTTGCTTTCCACTGGTCGTTTTGGTTTACAATAATTTCCAGCGAGTTTCTTTGACGTGTCATACAATTGTCTCATGTTTCCTTCTATCGCAGTCTTTTCCCCCATCGTTAATAAATCTTCCACATATTTACGTTTGTCAGTTCTGATACTCCTCTTCACCTGTCTGTTTACTTCTGTGTATTCAGCTTGTACCTTGGCTTTCTCTGATCTTGTTCGACTGGTATTGATTACTGCCTTCTTGTTTCTCCTTTTTTCAATCTTATCCAGCGTATCAACAGTAATCCATTCCTTGTGGTAGCGCTTCTTGTGGCCCAGAACTTCATGACATGTTGAAGTGTTTACCTCTTTTATCCCTTTCCACTTGCTGTCCATAGTCGTTTCCTCTCCATTGAGTAGATCATGAAAGACCTGGAATCTATTGCTGTGCATAATGTGACCCGGTGAAGTCCATGTGGTTTTGTGAATGCGTTTATGTGGGAATATAGTGCCACCTATGACCAGTTTATTGAAGTCACATAGGTTTGCGAATCTCTCACCATTTTCGTTCCTTTCTCCCAGTCCATGTCGTCCCATGATGTCTTCATATCTGGTGTTGTCCATTCCTACCTTGTCATTTGGGTCTCCCATCAGAATGGTCAAGTCCTTTGTTGGGCACTTCTCGGAGATTGACTGCACCCTATCGTAGAATTGATCTTTAACGTCTTCATTGTAGTCGTCGGTAGGCGCATAACATAGGATGACGTTCATTGTAACGTCCTCTTTCTTTGTTTGGAAGGAGGCTTTGGTTATTTTTGGCCCATGAGATTCTCATCTTATAAGTGCATTTTGTGCTTGTTTGGATAGCGTCAATGCAACTCTTTGTATATGTGGGGCATTTTTTTCTTCACGGCCAGAGTATAACAGAGGCTCCCCTGAAGCTAGTCGTTGTTGTCCAACTTGCGTCCAGTGTGTTTCACTGACCCCAAGCAACTCCAGGTTGTATCTCCTTATTTCTGAAGCAATTTGGAAGATTCTCCCAGTCTCCCACATTGCACGAGCATTATATGTACCTAAATAAATGGTTGTCAGAAGGGGCATCAGCTTAGTGAATTCCGAAGGAATTAGGCTTTCACCATGAGGCGTCATAACTCTTCTAAATGAAGACCTTCTGACTCCCAGGGCAGAGTTTAGATGGTTTGGATAATTTTTTTCTGGTTAGCGTTTTTTTGGTAAGTTAGTGTTCTATGGGGTGGGGTCGCTAACCCCACGTCCAACCCTCCTCCTTTATCCGGGCTTGGGACTGACAAAAGCTTCAGAGGAGCTCCAGGCGGAAGGGAATATGTATATCACTAATAAACATATGTATGGTATCACTACAGACCTTGTAGATTTTTCAATCACATGTGATGTATATAAACGACAACCTGTACGTAATAAAAATAGGACGCTTAACAATATAGATTCATGAAACTGTGACTTGTTTAATTTCCGCCTGGTACAAATTTTACAAGCTAGGTAGCAACTCATTTCTATATCAAAAGAAACGGATTGAACAAATTATTTTGTCCATCAGAAATAACGAAGAAACAACTTATTTGGGTATTCTGTTCTAACACTCAGTCACTAGATCTATATGAATAGAAAAATGCCATGAACAAATACAATATTCTACCTAATTTACTCTCTCTGTTTATGTATCTGTCAATGGTCAAACTTGTATGTTCTCTTGAAAATTTGTGTTAATCAATTGAACATCCTTTCGATAGGTTTACTGACAAGATTGCATAAAAAATGAACAATATGTGAAAAATATGTGCCGAAATTTGGCATATTTTGTCAATCTTTTCTGTGTTCATGAATTTCAATTAATAAAAATTTAAATACAAGAAACTATAATATCCATTAATTTACCCCCAGGTGGTTTTGATATTAAATCATTGGAGCTTGCCATCAAGCAAGGTGAAGAAGATCTAGAAATCTCATTCACAGAACTATTAATCTCTAATAACCAATTTGGTTCATGAATCTCAAGTATACTTGAATAAGTAGTACTATTAGTAGAAGTTGAGTTGACATTAAAATTATTATAAAATGAAGTAAAATCCACAGTTTTTCTTCTTGAATTAGTTTGATGATATAATCGACTATTTGAATCAATCTGGAACAATAATAAACATTGCGAATAAACATCTGTGAAAATTCAATCCCTTTACAATAAAACTATATATATACTTTCTAGATAATGATAATTACAATAAGTGATAATAAAATTCTGTTAAACATGATAACAGTGAAGTGGAATAAACAAAGGTATTAAAACATTTTCATCAGGGGTAATAATAGTAATAGTAATAATATATGCGATTGTCAGCTTTGAAGATGAACTCGCCAAAAGGAGAACTTGCTGAACCAATCTTTCTTATATTATATCTCAGTGGGTATATTCCGTCAGTGAATGTTTTTGTAACAGATAATATACTAAATGAATTTAGTAAATTATGGGGAGGGGGGAGCAACACAAAATATTATGTAATGAATAGAAATTTCCATACCATAAAATATATGTGAAAAAGACTAATAGTAAGGTATTATTAAAATAGTTAGATAAACTAGTAAGACATCGGTAATCAGACAAACTGTTCTGGAAAATATCCTATTGACTTTTGAGGTTTTAAGGAAATTGACCAGAAGTCAATTATCTTTTCATTAGGTTAAAGTCAACCTAATATATCTAATTGGATGCACTCAATAAACCCTAGATTAAATTATACTTAAGTTGTTTGTTTCACTTAAAAGAAACATTATACCATTAATTACTACGATTGTAATTGTTGCATTACTATTCTTAATCTTCGTCGTCTAGTCCCATGAACACACGGTAGGAAGAATGTTTCAGCTATTTCTACTGTGCAAAGAATAAGGTACCTGCAGATCAGCAAAGTGGACTTTCAAGAGAACTATAATGACAATGAGTGGGAATGAAAGAACAAGAACGAGTATTCATGATAATACTTTTGAAAAAATAGGTTAGATGGACATTGCTTAAAGTTATAGTATGCGAACGGAAGTTGTATTAGTGACAGACAAAAATATCGAACGGTCATATTTGTATGAAAAGATACACCACTTAGCATATAAATTAATGGATGAAAGCAACAACTTCCACTGTTCCTATAAGTTAAACAGGTTAACAAAAAGACTATCATACCCAGTACAATGAAAACAATTTATATCTACCAAAAAGCAACCTAATAGTTTCATAGCGTATTTTAAAATAATAGTGGAAGACACCAGATCTAAATTTGTCTTATGAAGTCATTAAATGTCAACTACTAAAGATAGTTGCCTGGATAGCCGATACAGTCAATGTAAGTATACTTTCAGTCAGTCAGCTACAACGTAGGACCAGGCATACATGTGCATCGGTCCAGGTTGCCATACCGCATCAGCACAACAAGATGAACACCGTATTCATAGCAGTGGTTAGGTCAAAGGTAGTAATATGTAAGAGAAAGATTGCATATAGAGATATAGTACAAGAAGAAAGAATTGGTTCGTAGAAAGAAAGATATGAAGCGATTTTAATCTCTTAGTTTAAGGGAAGACAGGAAGTGTATACACCGACGCCATTGTGATCGATTCTGAGCCATGTCACCAAGAGTCTCCAACCATTGGTTACGATAGTCACGCGGACCCCAACCAAGTAGTCTGCATCTCCCAACATGGCTCAGACTAGAGGTTAGTGACTTCAAGCACTGATGCCACGTTTTGGTTTGGCCGCCCCTAACTTTCTTCCAACCATCCCCTACCCCGGTTAGCATTGCACGTCGTGGTAATCGGTGTTCAGGCATACGTAATACGTGGCCCAACCATCTCAGTCGATGAAGATTCATAACCTCATCAACTGATTTACCATCATTCCCTAATACCCTGCGTCTAACCTCACTATTACTTACCCGGTGATCCCAGCAGACGCCAGCAATATTTCTAAGGCATCTGTGGTCAAATACTAATAGCTTACAAGTGTCTTCTATTCTTAATGGCCATGTTTCACTGCCGTAAAATAAAACAGAACGGACTGCCGCGCAGTATACTCGTCCTTTTATTGATAGACGGATATCTCGCCTTCGCCATAGGTGACGCAAGTTGGCAAAAGCCAATCGAGCTTTTCGAATCCGTGCTGAGATTTCGTCAGACACCAACCCATTAGGGCTGATCAGACTTCCAAGATAAGTGAAGTTGTCAACGCGTTCGACTACTTCACTCCCTATCCTTAGTTCAGGTGTTGACGGAGACCAGTCCTGAAACAACAACTTGCATTTAGAGGGAGAGAAGCGCATTTCAAACATTCTGGCATTGTTGCTTAGTGCTACCAGAAGACTCTGCATTCTATCAGCGTCTTCACCAAACAGGACTATATCATCTGCGTATTCTAAGTCGATAAGTGGACCTCCTGCTAGGAGATCAATACCCGAGAACTCAGTCGACGAGAAAGTTATTTCCATCAATAGGTCTATGATGAAGTTAAACAAAAATGGGGAAAGTGGACAGCCTTGACGGACACCACTTGAGGTTGCAAAAGTAGATGACAGTTCGCCATAAGCTCTGACTCGACTAGTAGTGTTCGAGTAAAGAGCCTTTACAAGGTTTATGTACTTCTGGGGTACGCCTTTCAATGACAGACACTGCCACAGAATCTCGCGGTCTACCGAGTCAAATGCTGCTTTCAAGTCGAGAAAGACCAACATTGTCGGACGCCGATAAGTATGCCCATGTTCTAGAACCTGACGAATGGTGAATATGTGGTCGATGCAGCCACGACCAGGTCTAAAGCCAGCTTGGTTCTCTCGTGTTTGCAGTTCACGAGTCTTAGTTAGGCGTCTGATAATTATCGAGGCTAGTATTTTAGATATTATATTAGTTAAACTAATCCCTCTGTGGTTGTCACAGGATGATTTTGACCCTTTCTTATATATTGGGACGATAAGTGATTGTGACCAGTTAGATGGAATAACGTCTAACTCCCAGATCTTAGCTAAAATATTAGTCAACCTAATCGCTAAAATTGGACCACCATCCTTAAAAACCTCTGGAGCCAATCCATCTGGACCAGCTGCCCTTCCTCGTTTCAGGTTAACTATAGCAGGTACTCCAGAATGAGCGACAATCTTGTACTGACCTCTCCAACGATGACTGATGGCAATATGGTCTATTTGAGTCCATCGTTGGTTTGGTGCAGGCGGTCGCCACGTTAGACGATGTCTCTCCTTATGCTTAAAATTTGTGTTTGCTAAAAATAAGCGATTGTCTGAGCACAGTTGCAGCAGACGGTCACCATTATCTGTTCGCTGTGCCGGAATGCTAAAATATCCACCTAAATGCCTTTCTGTTTGGTTTAAGCTACCTATCTGAGCATTAAAGTCACCCCCTACGAGTACTATGTCTGAGCGTTTAGCTTTCTGAAGAAGTTCGGACAGCTTTCTGTAAAATTCATCTTTCACTTCATCTGAGCTGCAGTCAGTGGGAGCGTAGGCAGGAACGACGAAAAGGCAACGACGTGTGTCCCTATCCTTCCGAGTTTTTACGGAGCCGTTTAGCCGAACAGCACATAGACGACTGTTGACGGGGATCCACTCTAGCAGTGCTTGTTCCGCCCTCATGCTTAGTGCTATGCCTACACCTGCCAGTCCACGAGAACTGGCCATCGGGTCACCAGATACACGTAGGGTGTATCTCGTTGGCTCTCCGTTTTGCCGAGGTGAGGTCAAGTGAATGACCACACTGGAATCCTGTATGCGTGTTTCGGAGACACAGCATACATCAATGGAAAGAGACTCTAGGGTTTTAGCCAAGGAAGCCTGCTGACCGATTTCACATAAAGTGCGTACGTTGAAAGCTCCAATGTGTAGTTTGGAGCGAGGTTTCAGTAGACCTGGGACAGAGTTTTTAGCACTAGAATCGTTGGCTATGATGACACTTGAGGAGGAAGCCGAAGGAGGAAGTTTAGGGTTGAAAGTCGATGTAGGAGGAATAATAGGAATAGAAGAGGGAGGTTGATTATGAATACAGTGGTCTTGGGTGCTGTTAGAGGTATGAGGGCGGTTATCACTTCCCGGTTGCCCACACCGTGGAAGGGTTCTTCTGGAGATACCTGAAAAGGAAATTGGATTAGAAGTGGTCTCAGTGACCTGAGAGCGTGACCGCAGTGCCCAAGGGACAACTGCTTGAGGCCGGTCGCGCACGGCCTTTTCGTGGGAGGTTTTTGACGTGTTAGCTCCGTTCTTCAAAGGGCCTTACCGCCGGAGACGGAAATCCGTGAGGTAAGGTGAGGTGCGCATTTTTAGGGTCGACCTTTTCTAACCCCACCCCTCCTTGTGGGAAGGCAGCATCGCTGTCATGCTGGTTGTCTGAAGGAAACACCTTACTGCTGTCACACCTCTGTACAGTCAGCAGTACGACTTCGCCTTCGGACCTTGGGTTTGTTGCTTTTAGTCTTACCGCTCTTCAACTGACCTGTCTGACATGGTAGGACCTTGAGGAACGGTTGTTCCAGCCAGTATAGCTCGGTTGCTTCATCACGATAGGGATGCCCGACCACCACGTCAAGGTAGCAACAACGGTCGGGTGAGCACAACGATCGGTGTACTGACGAAGAAGAAAAATAACAAATTATCATTTACCTGTTTTAATTTATAAAATGTAAAGTTGTCATAAAACTGTTTACAGTTAGGATTTTGTAGATCAGTTAGTAAACCAAGGTCGATAAATTTTTGGCAGACCAGTCGTCCTTTCATTCTGTAACAGAATTAATTCATAGGAAAAAAAGTACAAAAAGGTACATTTGAAGTGAGGGAAGGTTTTAAACACTCTTTCAATTATCAACCGTAATCTAATATCAATCCCGTAAACTGAAAAAGTTCCAACTTGACATAAGGTTCACATATTGTAAACGACTAATTGTTAATGAAACACTTAAATCTATGATCCTATCTCTCTCATTCCAATTATGATCTGGTAAATAACTCATCCATCTAAGGCAATTTACTTTCAATCAATGGATCATTATTATGAAATACACTACCGGTTTTGTGGTAAGGGTATTACCACCAACAGACTTAATTAACTAAGGTTTAAAGCTTGGTTAGTGACTTACACTGCCTTTTTAATAATTATTTGTACAATAGCTGTCATTTGCATTTTGTTAAACAAATTCCATATATATATATATAGGCAATTTTATGCCACTTTCTCGAAGACCGTATAGTTTTTTCATAGTGCCCAACAAAACTTCAAGCATACCGCCAAGTTATATAAGTACAACCTGGGTTGCAGGCAAGCAATCTTTAAAAAAAAAACTAACCTACAACGTTCCAAACCCGGTATATTATTGACTAACCAATAAACTAGTGCTAGGCCATAAGTACAGTAGTACTCTTCATTTTCGTTTTTTAATCTAAATAATTGTAGCGATTTACATGAACTATTGTCTTTCGTTAAATTTTCATTTGAATGGCTATGCACACGACTTAATGGTCGAGTTGATGATGCAGTCAACTGTGAAATACTGATAGTTGAAAAATCAAGATCCTTTGGTGAATTAGCCCAAAGTCTTGACCATAAATAAAGTATATCTTGACCTGCTGATGAATTGAATAATGACTGCGATGCACTGCTTGTTAAACATTCAAACGAATGAGATGAAGAAATTTTTTTGAATGGAGCACTGCAAATATCTATATTCAACGATTCATTTAAAACTGGACCTTGACTTATGCGCGGTGTTCGACGAATTACACCAAATGTATTAGATTCAATGGTGCACATTGTTTGTCTAATAGAATCCACTGACGGAGATGCATCATTACCGTTTGGGAAGGTTGCCGAGAAAAATGTAGGAAACAAGTCTCTGCATCCATCTGCTGAATTGGTAGAAGTAGAATTGTTTGGGCTAACTAAATCTACAGCTATTCTGTTCAAATATGAAGGTGAAGTAAGCAATGCTTTTGAATTGGATATATTCAACAAACCAGTACTCATGCGTATAGTGAGATTGGAAAGATGACTAACATGAGATGGAACAGACTTTGGTCGGTTATTGTTTCTGAGGGATTTTTCTGTCAAGCTTATTTTTTTCTTCAAACCATGGATATTGTCTGTATTTAGCGATCTGACAGAACTTTTGTCCAATGAATGTTCTGGTTTATTGGTATTAGTACTAATTAGTGTTTCAGCACAATAACTGCAGGCTCGTTGAAGACCATCAAGTCCAATTTGTGTCCCTTCAACAATCTTAACAAATGAAAACAAATGCATTAAAACTTAGATGGATAGAGAAAATTTATATGACATATTTGTAGGAAGAACAAAAATTAGTGGAAGATTGAAAATAAAAGATTTCTACAAATGTGATAATAAGTGTTTGCAAATTCGAAGTAGAAATATTTTCCAGTACCCAAAATTTTATTAAAAAACTTGAGATTTGGAAGGTGTTCGAGGAAAAATAATACTGTTATCATTTTATATCGTTTGTTCGAATCTTCCCATTGATGTTTAGAACGGCAATTGATCATTCTGTTATTGGTATATGTGCATCCTGGGTGGATTGCCTCGATATTACCTAGAGTCACAAGTATTATAAGCAAACATGGATAGTGGATGGCAGTCGGATCCGGGATGCACGTTTCGTCCTATTCCGGACTCATCAGCTGGATGTACCTGTATTCCAGAACTGTCGTTCACTCCGGGACTCGAGCCAAGAGCACCGTTCGCTTCAAACGCCATCCACTTAGCTACTGAGTCCCGATAGCCACTAGCTTGTGATATGAAGACTGGTCAATTGAGGTTCTAAAGATTAATTGGAAGATTCAAACAAACAATACAATATGAATTCAAACTTCACACTATATCGCAAACTAGTGACTATCAGGACTCAGCACCTAATTGGTTAACGTGATGACGTTTGAAGCGAACGGTACTGGGTCCGATTTTCGGAGTGAACATCGACTCTGGGATGCAGGTACATCCAGCTGACGAGTCCCAAATAGGACGAGACGTGCGTCCTAAGTTCTACTGCTAGGCACCACCCAACTCTGTTAAAAGCCAAGAACTAAAAAAAGCAAACATATTCCGAAAGTTATGAGGCTGAGAAGAATAAGAAATACAGGACGAACATGTTCAAGATCTATAGAAGGACGAAAGAAAGCATCTATAAGATTTTATTTATCTAAATACATAAATATTGGTACAAAGGGGCACCGAATACATATGCGTCACAGAAGTCACTTGATTTGTGTGTGGGCTGTGGTACTGTCTGGGTGCTCAGACCGAAGCAGGTGGTTCTCTTAGGGAGCAACACCCGGAGCATTCGACCTAGAGGTCTGATCCACAAGGTAGTGGAGCATCGTAAGGAGATATGGTCCCATGGTAACTAGTGACCAACAACTGGTTCATACGCCTTTTGTTCCCTCAGAATATTAGAGCCCATGTGCACCATTGGTTTGGAATCAGGGTTTTTTAACTTCCCTAGGTGCACTCTCCGTGTCCACCAACCCAGGTAAAGCGCCGGACATTCGCTTTTCGTCCTCTCAACTCCGTAAACAACACTCCCGCCCCGAGAAGGCGGTGAGTAGCACTTCCTTGACAGTAGCTGCTTACGTGTTGCCATGTGAGAGCATTTCGAGAGGAAGAGATGACTCTCCCCACTCTCGGCCGTACCAAGGCATTTGGGGGCTTAGCCACTCTGAGCCAAACAACACAGTCGCCGAAGGTAGTTTATTGATTTATTCGAACACATAAATATTGGTACAAGAGAGCCAACAAAAGCCAGCCCTTTTCAGCTTTCTTTCATACCACGACACCATGTCATACACTGACCACCTCTTCGCTTTTTCCAACCAGTCCCAGCGTCGGCAAATAATGCACGACGTGGAATTCTCTGGGACGACATTCGTAGAACATGTCCAAGCCATCGAAGTCGATGTTTCAAGATGGTGACACCAATCGCATTATCGTCTCTGTGCCCGAACACACGATGCCAAACCTCTGCATTACTAACATGGTGTTGTCACTGGATGTCAGCAATCCTTCGGAGACAATGATGATCGAACACAGAGAGTCGTCTAACGTCCTCAACTCGGAGAGGCCAGGTTTCACAAGCATAGAGCAAAACTGCTCTCACCGACGCGTTGTAGATCCGACCTTTTACAGCCAGACTAACATCACGAAGGCGCCAAAGATGGCCCAGATTGGCAAAAGCCGCACTGCCTTTCCCTATACGTGAATTGATCTCATCACTCACGCCACCACCAGCACTTATGCAGCCACCTATATACACGAACTTCTCGACTACTTCTATCTGCTCACCACCAAAGGTGAGTACAAGATTAGAATCCTGCCAGTCTTGTAGAAGTACTCTGCACTTCGAAGGTGCAAAGCACATACCATACCTACGGACACTGATTGCCAACTGATTAAGTGCGGATTGCATGCCTTGGGCATTATCGCACAGTAAGACAATATCATCCGCATACTCAAGGTCGAGAAGTCTTTCTCCAGGCAACAGATCTACACCGCCATTACTTACATCTATCAGAGCTGTTTCCAGAATGTCGTCGATGGCAAAGTTGAAGAGGAATGGTGAGATTGGGCAACCCTGCCTAACCCCATTGCTCGAATGGAACAATGGAGAAAGGTGGTTTTATGTCCTCACTCTGCCTGAGGTGTTTGTATATAGGGACTTTAGGATGTTAATAAACTTCTCAGGCACACCCTTCTTCAATAGACAATCCCAGAGAACAGTCCTGTCCAACGAATCGAAGGCAGCCCTGATGTCGAGAAACACTACGATTGTTGGCCTTTGATAAGTATGGCGGTGTTCTAACATTTGGCGGAGGGTGAAGATATGATCAATACATCCTCGACTAGAAAGAAAACCAGCCTGCACCTTGCGAGTCAATCTTCCTCGGGTTTTGAACAGCCTACGAAGTATGACGGAAGCCAATGGTTTGGACGCAATCGGAAGTAGACTTATCCCCGATAGTTGTTACAGGAACGACGTGAACCCTTTTTAAGGATAGGGACAACTATCGACTCATTCCATGACGTTGGTACACTCTCTAGCTCCCAAACCTTTGTAAACAACGTCGTCAATTCCTTAGTCAGAAAGTCACCACCATCTTTAAAAAGAGCCGGAGGTAAGTCATCTGGGCCAGGTGATTTGTAGCGCTTCAAGAGTTGGAGTTCCTTGCGGACTTCCGCCTCATTCGGTAGATCAGTCGTCACCGACCATGGAGGGCACGACAGCCTGACTGATGTTGCCGGAGCAGCAGGCCAGTTGAGCTGCCCTTCGAAAAATTCTGCCCATCGTCCAAGACGTCGATGGATGTTGGTGATTGGCATCCCATCATCCTCGCAGATTGTTTCGCTCACACCAGACTTCTTGTGACGTTTCGCGAACCCACAACTGACTGTACCCGCCATTTTCATAGCGTCATGCAATTGCAACCAATCCTCATCTATACTTTTTGGTGGAATGGTAGCTAGCCTACAAGCTAGCTCGGTTCGATACTTACTTGCAACAGAAGTTGCAACCAATTCGCTGACATCAATCCGTTGGTGGCGGTCACTTCGTTGTCCACTGAAAAGTAAGGTAAGATTGGCGCAGACTAAGGCATGATCAGAGTCCAGATAGGAACTCCAAAAGGAGCGGCAGTCTTGTACACAACTACATCAGCGGTAGCTGATCGCGATGTGATCAATCTGAGTCCAGGCTTGAGATGCAGAGGGAGGACGCCAGGTGGCACATCGGCGATGACTGTGCCGGAAGTTAGTGCTAGCCAGAAACAGGTTGTGGTCTGTGCACAGTTACAGTAGACGGTACCCGTTAACTGTCCTGTGACCAACAAAACCCCATCGGCCAGCTAAACGACTCTCTTCTGTGCCTAGACGCCCGACCTGAGCATTCAAGTTTCCGGCTAGTACTGTAATATCTGTCGAACGCACTTTCTGGAGAAGAATAGTTAACTTGTAGTAGAATTCATCCTTGATTACATCCGGGCTGCAATCTGTCGAGGCATAGGCGGAGATGACAAAGAGACATCGTTTCTCACGCCGATTTCTTCTCACTCTGATGGAACTTTCTAATCTAACAGCATATAACCGACTGTTATTAGGGATCTAATCGATTAGTGCTGCCTCAGCTCTAGTGCTTAGTGCAACGCCAACAACAGCAAGATCAAACGAAGATGCCACAAGGTCACTGAATAAACGCACGTAAAACAAGCTTTTTGAAGCGACAGATGGAGAGCGAATTTGTAGTACTTCACCAGAGTCTTGAATACGGGTCTCGGATAGACAGCAAACATCGATATTAAGACTTTCTAAAGACATAGCCAGCCCTATCTGTTGTCCAACCTGCATAAGTGTGCGAACGTTGAAGGCAGCCAGTTTGAATGGTGCACGTGGTTTCAGAAAAACTGCTTCAGTACTCATATTTAGTGGTAACATACAATTTTCAACCGGGCAGTGACTTGAGAACGTTTAGATAGAACCGAGTTTCTATAGGCGAGTTGCTGTATAAGTCGAGAAATATGGATATACAAAATGGGAATAAAAGAGAGTGAACAAGTGACGTAGTAAATAATTAATAATAATAATAATAATAATAATAATAATAATAATAATAATAATAACAATAACAATAACAATAATAATAATAATAGTAACAATAATAATAATAATAATTACAATAACAATAATAATAGTAATAATAATAATAATAATAATAATAATAATAATATAGTAACAATAATAATAATGTGAATCGTTTGACTGTTAATTGGAGCAAGAATAGTATTTTCCATAAGTATCGTCATTTCATTCTATTTGTGTATGGGCTGTGATACTGTCTGGTTGCCCAGACCGAAGCAGGTGGTTTTCTTAAGGGGGCCACACCCCGAGCCTTTGACCTTAAGGTCTGATCCACAAGGCAGTGGAGCATCGTGAGGAGATGGAGTCCCATGGTAGCCGGTGACCAATGATTGGCTCATACGCCATTTGTTCCCGCAGGATGCTGGAGCCCATGTGCACCATTGATTTGGGATCCGGTTAAAGCGCCGGACATTCTCTTTTCGTCCTCTCGTTTCCGTAAACAACACCCGGCCACGAGAAGGTAGTGAGTAGGACTTCCCTGGCAGAGGCTGTATACGCGTGACCATGTGAGAGCATTTCGAGAAGGGGGGAGGGCCCTCCACACTCTCAGCCATATCAGGGCACATGGGGGCCGCCGAAGGTGGAGCAAATATTTGATCGACATATTTATAGCCAAGCCTGAAACCTGTTACTTTAAACAGGTTACCGACTTTAAACTCCAACTAAGAGTTGGATGGTTAGGAAAGCTATTATCAGTCAAACTGATTGATTTACGGTTATTTCAATAAGATTTTTAGCCTGTGTTAAGAGCCATGGCGATCTGTGACCGACAAAATTATACAAACCTTTCAGGCTAACTAATATCTCAGTGAATCTAACTGTTGACCGTATACTAGTATTTTTACAGGTTATCAAACTTAACCGATCAATGCCTTAAAATTTATCCCAGTTTCCTCGACTGAGCTAGAAGCTGTAGATATTATGTTGAGGTTCTATTCACGATATTTGTAGATAATGAGTGATTCAAGACAAGTCGGTAATCAACTGAATTGTTCCTTAAACTGTTATGCTAACTGCTCTAATTGCTTAGTCTATGAGTAAAGCATTATTTCATCACTTTTCAAAGGAAGTTTCATTGAATACTAACTTGTTAGCCTGTCTCTACGGTGAATTTAGAGGAATTCCCCCACTTTATTTATCTCTATTGAAGTTTCCATCACTTTTCCCTTTCTCCGCTATTCTCAATCATCATTTTATAACGTTTTTCATCTGATATTTTATCTCCACTTTATTTTACTTTTCGAGGCCCGCAGCAATGGTCCTAGAAATCAACTAACTGAGAAATTTCCGAGATTCACTAGTCCTTTAGATATTCCCGACAGATGCTACTGTAGCATTAAATGACACTTGTAAATCTACATGCTTTATTTGATTAGTATTGGTCTCAGAGGTTAAAAAGCGAATGTTCTCAAAACACCTGATGTGACTCGGTTACTTATAGCACGTCTGTGCATATAGCTATTAATCACAAAAATAATGAGGATTTATGATATTGATCGGTTATTTTTCGCTATAGATAAAGTAGAATCCGACCGTAGTTGCTACCTTGACGCGGTGGTCGAGCTTGCCTATCGTGATGACCCAACCGAGTTATATTGGCTGGAACATATGTTCCTGTAGGTTCTACCATGCCAGGCAGATCGATTCGAGAACGGTAAGACTAAAAGCAGCAACTCAAGGTCTGAGGGCGACGTCGTACTGCCGACTGTAGAGGGATGTGACAGCAGTAAGGTGTTTCCCTCGGACAACCAGCATCTGCAGCGATGCTGCATTCTTATAAAGAAGGAGGGGATTAGAAAAGATCGACCCTAAAATGTTACACCTCACCTTAACTCACGGATTTCCATCTCTAGCGGTAAGGCCCTTTGAAGAACGGAGCTAACACATTAAAAACGCCCATGAAAAAGCCGTGAGCGACCGGCCTCAAACAGTTATCCCTTGGACTCTGCGGTCACGCTCCCAGGTCGTCAAGACCAACACTAATCCAGTTTCCTTTTCAGGTCCCTCAAGAAATACCCTTCCACGGTGTGGGCAGCCGGGAAGTGATATCAGCCCTCGTACCCGTAACAGCACACGAGACCAAGTTGGTCACATTCAAATCCTTCCTACACCTCCTAATACCTCTCTTATCTCCCCAACTAACCCTTCTCACGTCCCTTTATCACCTCGCACTGCTAGGGCAAACGATTTGAGAACGTGGAACGTTATTCCTGGTCTCCTGAAACCACGCTCTAAACTACACGTAGGAGCTTTTAACGTTCGAACACTGTGCCAAAGAGGACAACAGGCTTCCTTAGCTAGGACATTAGAATCTCGTGCCATCGATGTGTGCTGCGTCTCCGAAACGCGCATACAGGATCCGAGTAGCATCATTCATCTGACCTCACCATGCCAAAATAAAGAACCAACTCGATTCACACTTCGTGTATCTGGAAGCCCTGATGCTGCTTCCCGTGGCCTCGCCGGCGTAGGTATAGCATTGAGTCCTAGGGCAGAACTAGCTCTCTTAGACTGGATCCCAGTAGACAGTCGTTTGTGTGTTGTCCGACTAAACGGAACAGTAAGGACTCGGGAAGATAGGGACACTCGTCGTTGCCTCTTCGTCGTCTCCGCCTATTCTCCCACTGACTGCAACGCAGATGATGTAAAAGATGAGTTTTACAAAAAGCTCTCCGACCTTCTCCGAAAAGCTAGGCGCTCTGATGTAGCAATAGTGGCTGGTGACTTTAATGCTCAATTAGGTAAATTAAGCGAAAAAGAAAGACACCTGGATGAATGTTATAGCGTCGTGCCTCGAAGAACAGATAATGGTGACTATCTGTTGCAGCTATGCTCAAATAACCACCTGTTTCTTGCAAATACAAACTTTAAGCATAAGGAAAAACATCTTTTGACATGGCGACCACCTAATTCATCCCAAGGTTGGACCCAAATAGATCACATCGCTATCAGCCACCGATGGAGGGGCTCGACAGAAGACTGTCGCTCATTCTGGAACACATACTTAGACTCAGATCATGCTCTAGTGCGATCACGTATTTGCCTGCTTCTTGCTGGACGTAGGAAAGACGCTGCAAGGAAACCTCTTAGCGGAGTCAGCTTAAGCGCAAGCTGACAAGAAGCCTACGCAATGATCGTGAACAGTGGTGGGTAGCGAAAGCAAGAGATATGGAAAAGGCAGCGGCAATAGGTAATAGCAGACAATTGTTCAGACTTGTTAAGGAAATCGGTATTAAGAACCCGACTGTTAGCGAAACAATCTCAGAGAAAGATGGACATATTATACATTCTCAATCCAGGAGATTGGATCGATGGGCAGAACACTTTAGGGATCAGTTCAACTGGCCTTCAGCCACACTTCGGTTTCCCACGATCTCCAGTCAACCTGAATGGCAAGTTAATGTAGGTCCTCCGACTCTTTATGAAGTTGAAAAAGCTACAGGAAATCTGAAGCAAGGGAAAGCAGCAGGCCCTGACAGGTTTACCTATGAGATTTTTAAAGATGGTGGTCCCGTATTAGCAGTGAGATTAACTGAGGTCTCAGGGAGAATTTGGGGACTGGACGTAATCCCATCTGACTGGTCTCAATTACTGATTGTGCCAGTCTATAAGAAAAGACAAAAGCATGTTCGAAATGCGATTCTCCCCCTCGAAATGCAAAATTTTACTTCAGGATTGGGTTGCATCGACACCCGAACTAATGATAGGGAGTGAAGTAGTCGAGTGTGTCGACCGCTTCACCTATTTTGGAAGTCTCATCAGCCCCTGTGGTCTGGTGTGTGACGAAATCTCAGCATGGATACAAAAGGCTCGACTAATTTTTGCCAACTTGCGTCATTTATGGTGTAGGCGGGATATCCGTCTACCAACCAAAGGACGTGTTTACTGCGCAGCAGTTCCTTCCGTCCTACTCTATGGCAGTGAAACATGGCCGGTAAGAGTAGAGGATATTCATAGGTTACTAGTATTCGATCATAGGTGTCTTCGAAACATTGCTCGTATATCCTGGGACCATCGAGTAAGTACACAGTTGTTAGGAAACGGGTACTAGGTAAGGATGACAAATCAATTGATGAAGTAGTGAAACTTCATCAGTTGAGATGGCTGGGACACGTGTTACGCATGCCCAACCACCGACTGCCTCGATGTGGTATGTTCAATGGTATAAGAGTAGATTGGAAGAAAGCTAGGGGCGGCCAGAGCAAAACATGGTACAAGTACATGAAGTCACTGTCAAGTGGACTGAACCATGTTGGTAGGTGTAGACTACCTGGTTGGCGACTGCGAGATGATAGCAATCGATGGTTAGAGACCTTGAATGACATGGTTCAAAATCGTTTACAATGGCGCAAGTTCATCCACTCTTTGTGCTCTCCCAAATTATAATCTGAATTCTTCATGTCCCTTTTTTTTTCCAAGTTTATTTCACTGTATTATACTCCTTGAATAACATCTTCAAGCCTCAATGTTTTCGATTACTGCTTATACTCTTACTACCTCTACCATTACGGAATTTAAGTCGACAACTGCATCTCTGTGCTAATGTGGTGTGGCAACTCGAACTGATGTACGAACGTACGAAGTTCTACGTTGTTAGTTACTGATGAGAATGAAAAACCACTTGATTGAAAAAATAACTCACTGGAAATATAACCAATCTTACAGACTTACCTGATTACTGCACTGATTACAAAATATCCTCCCACAAACACGGCAATGATGTTTACGGCGGATGGCAGTAAAACGTGTACCGCATTCAAAACAAAATTTGCAATTTTCATCTTGCATCCAGTAGCGTCTTTCGGGTGGTCGAATAGATCCAGGCAATTGATTATGTGAAGAAGAGTTAGACATTCCGTCAGGTATGTTTTCATCCAATGCTGAGAGGCCATTGTGGGACAATTTATTATGTTCATTTTTCTACAGAAATTTAGATACAATACAAACTATCAACAATTTATATTATTGAACTGTGAGAAAGTGTTTTAGCTATTTCAACTGACATACTACCTTTTAGTTAAAGTGCAGTAATAACTAACTTTGAACACTACTAAGTGGATAAAAGAAAAGGAGCTACAAAAAAGCATCAGCAGTATATGATCAACGAAAGTAGAACATTAAAATTGGACAGGATTGAAGACATGAATGTATACAGAACAAGCATGAAGCAATGTAATTTTTAACATTTACGGTAAAATAAATTAGTGTATCTTCAAAGCTTTTTAACCAATAATGAACAAGTTCATTGATTTGAAACATCGAGTTTCGATTACGAATAAGATTGAACGAACAATCGGGATTTATTAGCGGTTGTTATGCGTAGACGTTACTCCTGTTACCCTTTATCAAAACTGTAATCGTTTTGATCGACACTTGCAGAAGTTAATGGCTACTTATGAATAGCACGTTGCAGCCTAGGTTTATACTGGTTTACAAACTCACTCATTGATCTTCTCATCTAGAACCCTACCCCTAAATTTGAAATTGCTTGTCTAGCAATCTTTCTATATCCCACCAATAATTTAAATAATTTGAAACTTTTAATTGACCTGAGAGGGTTTCTTTTTACTATCCTGAAAGTTAGTTTGTTAGATTTTTAAGTAGCGATGGGTTGTATTGAAAAAAATTATCAATTTTATAAAAAGTGAGTAGTACCGCTAAAAGATCAAATGGTAAATGGAAAGACCAAAGCCTAAGTATGTCTTATTTATAAAGTGTAATCATTTTGTTTTGTTTAGAGGTAGCAGTTTAAAATGAATATAAAACCTTAACTGAAGCCGCGTTTAGTGATGCAATGCTTAGTCAAGGCAGAGAAGCTGGGGTACACAAATTATTGGGGCTGTTAAACACTAAACAGGAAGCAGATACAATTTTTTGGAGCGCATTAGTTTGATCTACTTTAGATGATTCATAGAACAAAGTATGTGCATGTCGCGAACATTTGGCAACAAGCGAACTAAATTATTCTTCATGTACTGTGATCACACAATGATTTTAGGCATACGGTCAATCGTCTAGCTCGGCTGAGAAATCTCTTTTTACTGGGCACACGGCTTAGTATGTGCACATATGAAGTTGCGTAAGCAAAAATTACTAGGAATTTTTTTATAATCGGAGGTTGGTTCACTAAACGATAAACAGTAAGTCAATCATTCATAACATAGCATTTCTAAGTGTCATATTTTAAGTGACGTTTCAATATTTCACACAAACCAAATATTATAAAGGCATCATTTACCTACACATATACACATAATTTTTAGTGATATCTGAAGTGCAGAGACGCAATTATATTTGTATAGACTGCACGTCATGTGTCTTTCGCAAGATCTTGAGGTCATGTATACATTTCAACTCCTTCCAGTACCAGCATGATTAAGCGGTAAGAGAAAAAAAGTGACATTAAGACACTAGATAATGTATTTTACTAACAAGTCCCACCCTTCTAGTTGGATTTTTGAAAGTTATGATACTTGTAGGGTTAAATGCTTGGAACAATACAGAAAGAGATGAATCTAACAATAGGACAAACCAATGCCAAAGTTAGTACCCATTTAAAGACCCTTGATAAAAAGAGCATGGAACCGTAAGTTTTTGATTAAAACGCGAAGTTGTCGTGCATAACAAACTAGTGTTAGACACAACAAAAGTAATAAATGCTATAAATTTGACCAAAATTAGGTTATTTTAAACGGAAAGGTGTGATCTCAAGAGTCAGTTTCGGTTAACACGCATAATTTAAATAAGCAAGGTGACCACTGGTCGTGATAATAATGTACTTTAAGGGGAAAAAAACCGCTTCCGGAGATCATTTAATAGAACTTCGGTAAGGAAGTGCACCTGATACGTATTAGTGTTTGTAGTACTGATCATTGATGTTAATCTATACAAACAACATTGAAAAGACATAAGGACGGCTGAAAAACTATCTTCACTAGTACATAAGCATCTGTTGAAGATATTTTCCATCCATGAGGCTAAATAACTATATCATCGTCTATTCAACTCCAAATCCCTAAGTGACCTCTAGAGACTTAGAATCTACTTAAAAGTATTATGAATTTATACTGGCTGACCTGAAATTCGTTCTGGTTTATTAAGGTCAACTAAAAAGCACCTATTAATTGGTCGTGATTTTGATTCCTGTTACAGGATCTGCATACTTATTTACCAAAAAATGAAAACCTTGCGCGATTCCCTATTTCCTTGTAATGAATTTTCAGATTTATTTAACTGCTTGATTTAGAAGTGCATAATACAACATGGTAACAGTGAAAACTGAACCGAATAAACAGACAGATTTTACATAAAAAAAATTCATTAATGTCTTGACGATGCATGCGAAGTCTATCCAAGAGTTCCAGAACCAATAGCACAAAATAATCTAGGTTGTTTCCAAAGACTACCCAAACACTTACAACAAACTTACACTATCAGCTGATATCTGAGGGACTTCTGTGGACTGAAATTTATCTTTAGCATCCTTTGTGTGAAGTGCAGTACTGCTTGTCAGTCTATTCACAAATCTTTTCAGAAATCCGCTGGTTTTTTGAGAGTTTTCAAACTCTGGGAGACCGAACGACACATACCCACCCGAGTCGCTTATTGACTTCATCAACAGTAACGCAAAACTCAAAATCCACACAGCAACTTGGATATTCTAAACGCAAACATTATTAGGTAGAAACAGCGAAATGTCCGTTTCTTAGGATGTTAAGCTGGTTATTATGATGGCGACCTAGATGTAGTTCGTATTTCTTCCTTATTAGATCTGAATAGAGAAAAATATAGTCTTCCGTTTATAGTAAAAAGAAATGGAAGTTTATCGACCTATATTAATACTTGCAGTTTGTAATAATGTGGAGGTTCAATCTCGTTTTGGATATATCAACAGAAGGTGCTGATATTACATGGTCCGGTAGGGAATTCCAGTAGTTCATTACTCGGTGCGAGAAACGAAACTCCAAACTTAAACGACTTGATCTCGGTTTTTGAACTTTCTTCGAATGTCCTCTCAAATAATCAATCCTAGACAAAAGTAAAAGATAAGATATGTTAATACCAAGGTCATCGTTTAGTATATGATAAGCCAATATTAGATCACCACGTATTCTACGGTAAGATAACGAAATAAGTTAAGGTGTCTCAGTCTGTCTTCATAAGATAGACCAGATGGACCTTTCACCATCTTAGTCCCTCGTCAATCGACTCTTTCCAAAATATCTGCTTCATACTTGAAACACGGACTCGCTGCTCGAATCCCATATTCTGAATGTAGTCACACGTAAATCCGGTACAATAATCTAAATATTTCGTCATCTAAACACTGGAAAGACCTACGAATAGACCATAATACCCTATAGCCTTTTGCAGCAGCAGCCTCACAGTGAATAGTGGTTTTGAGATCACTGCTTAATATGACTTCTAAATCTTTATATTCTCTTACTTTGAGTAGCACGTGTCCACACACTGTATAGTGATACGGTTCATGATAGTTATTTGATTGCATCACCACACTCTTGTTGGAATTTACTTCTAGTGACCACCTGTTCATCCATGCCACCAATGAGCTAAGATCATTCTGTTATACAATTCTATTTGACACACTGTATACGGGTCTCCAAATCTTTACGTCATCAGCGAAGAGTAAAACGGATGATGTCGCTATAGTTGGCAATTCATTTACATAAAGTAAAAAGAGGAGAAAACCGAGGATTGTATCTTGAGGAACTCCACTTTATACAGGTACCCACGAGGAGAGAGACCCATTCACCCTTACCCTTTGTCTCCTGTCATGCAGAAAGTTAATTATCCAATCTGCGACTGTATAATGGATTCCAAAACGTTACAGTTTGAACTTAACACCAGAGTGGGAGACCTTATCGAAGGCCTTACTTAGATCTATTAATATCACATCCACAGGAGTATTCTGATCTTTTGCAGCAGCCCAATCTTCTCTTGCAACGAGAAGATTTGTCAAGCACGATAGGCCTCTCCAAAAGCCATGTTGTTCCCTGGAGAAAAGATTATGCCCTTCAACATAGTTTATAGCAGATATCCGAATGATTTTTTCCATCAGTTTTACAACCGCACTAGTTGAGCCAACGGGTCTGTAGTTACTACTCCAAGCCTTATATACCGGACTTATTATCGCGTCTTTCCAGTCTCTGGGGAATCTGGAGTGCCTCAAAGACATATGAAATAGTGTCGCTAATAGTTCAGCAATTACGTCTGATATGGCTTTCATAATCCTAGGATGAATATCATCAGGACCACTGGACTTATCAGGTTTAATATGCTGAGGTAGCCTTAAGACAGTACCCTTCTCAATGACTACAGGGTCCAACAGCGAGCCACAAAAATCAAAATGAATCGTTGGTCGTTCTTCATTACTGATAGAAAACACTACTGAAATATTCCGATAAAGCTTCAGCTTTTTCTATATCATTTCTTGCCAAGATTAACGTATATTCTTGCGTCAAAAGTGATTGAATTCCATCGCTTCTCTGAGCTCGCCTTTTCATATACGAGAATTACTGTTTCGGACTATATCAAGAATCCCTAACCAATTGTTTTTCATATGATCGCCTAGTCTTACTTATTAACGCTTTACCGGCATTGCTAATCTTACAATAACTTGACATGTATTGTTCTAAGCTAGTAGATATGAACATATTCCGGTGCTTTTGCCTTCTAAATAGGTTCTTGATTTGTTTATTTATCATGGTGACAGTCGTTGGTCTACGTGTTACGGGGCATGGTATAAACGAGGATGTAATTGAACTAAACTTGCCTTCAAATACAGACCGTCCTTCTTTAACTGATAAGCTAGTATCTACAGAGCAATCTGTTTTAGCAGCTCACTCCTGAATGGCTGATATGTTAGCTCTCCATGCGATTGGGCGGGGTTTAACCTGATCATACATCATGTCACTAGTTCTAAACGTGAATGACGAAACAGCGTGGTCGCTATTCACTAACGATGGAAGAATATTAAGTCGACAATATCCTCACTCTCGTGAGTGATTATCAAGTCCAACAAAAAAACCTTGGTTTGCACCAAAACTTGTGGGATTGAATACATGCTGTACTAATGCATGCTCCATTACTGTTATCAGGAACCTGCTATCAAAGGAGTTTATAGATCATCCGTGGTCATCTCCGTCCAACTAATATCAGGCGCATTAAAGTCTCCTATTATCAGGCATCTGTTATTTGCACTCCATAGCTAAATGTGCTCTAAAATAAAGTCGTTAGCTAAGCGATTGGGCTGCGATAGATGACAACGAGTATAAATGTACCGCATCAGATAGCCGGTTCACAACTAATGACTTCACAGGTTCCACTATAATGTGATTCGCTAGCCACCTTTTTCCTTCATCTTCTTTCCTATCACTTCTTAGGTAGTGGTATCCGAATAATTCTGGAGTAATGTCTAATTCATGAACTAACCAAGTCTCTGTCACTGCTACAATGAGCGGCCCTAAATGTTCACTTATGCCTCTCGTTTATAGAGTTTGCTTCTTGGACTACGAGCGTTGGCATGTCAAACTCCCAGGGAGAATGGACTATCTACACAGGCCTTGGTAACATTCGCTTCCAAGACTGACTATCCGAAAACCCATCGACCGAAGAATTTCCTCGCCGTTTTCTCGACGAGTTTCTAGTTCTTCCTTTTTATTCTATTTTCCAGGGACATATCAGGTTTCACTCAAATGTCAGAATCGTCGTGACTACGAGCGCTCCTTAAAAAAAGATCACGTTGCTTCTCCGTTCCTAGGATTACATTAAGGAGTCTACATGGGCAGTGTTCAACACTGTCCTCAGTCCTCTTACCTATTCTTAACATTTTTTGACCTGAACTCCTTTTGAGTTATCTGGTAAGATGCTACGAATATATCATCTGAATCATGCGCGTCCCCAATTTTGGGATCAGGATCGTTTGACTCCAGCAAATTACTCACAATAATATTCAGTGACATTAGATTCTTCTTCGCAGTCACGCCAGGGTGGAATTCTCTCTTGCTATCAGACTTTGGTAGTGTATTTTGTGACCCAGAATAGGAGTTCACCAACGACTTACCAACCAGCTTTGTATTGTCAAGAGCTTTTTTCTTCTCATTTCTTCTTCTCCATACTGAGGTCCATTTATCATCACTCAGGACAGCCAAACCGGGACTATTTGGAACGGTGACAGTTTTATCCGGGTCTTCAATTTCCAATAATTATGAATGCTTAAACTGATTACTTAAAAGGTTTAAGCAATGTTTTGGGGATTTATTTACCGCTACACTCCTAATCATTCGACACAGATTATCTACTTCATTGACCCACAAATTTACTGTGACATACTCCCCATTACATATCACTTCTGTTCCTAGAGAAAATATGTCTACGTAGCAGATATTCAAGGTTTGACAGCGTCTTGGTCCATGTGTATAATGGCAAACTCAACAGTGATCTAGTGTGGATGCGTGACCTATTGCTTCCAACTAGGACGAGTCCATTAGAACTAATGAGGTCAGGATCAATGTTGAAGGTATACAAAATTATTTACTTTGGAAATGTATTTACCGCCACGTAGACATACTTTTCCGAGGGACAGAAGAGGTATGTTTTTGGGAGTAAGTTACATTAAATGAGTGGATGGATAACGTAGATGTCTTGTATCAAATGACTGGGATCATACTGGAGTTAGATTGGAATGATATGATCAACAGCCAACTTCGAAGTCATAAATCGCGGTAAGCACTTAATATGGATCACCATTCATCGTACCAAAGAAATGTGTGTATCTTGATGACCGTTCAGCACAAACGATGTTATTACAGAAATATATTATTAAGACTAGGTACAAGGAAGAGATTGCAACCACCACCACATGAGTCAGTCCATGATATGCGATGAACTGATGCGCATTGCTTTTCCTTCATCTTGTTGATAATCAATGAGCTGTTCGTCATTCAATGGCCCAAATGCCGGATGATTTGGCTAGATCTCAGTGATATTTCACTGGTCCTATAAATCATTGAGCGGCTAAACCATATTGAAAAATTATTTTCATTTGGGCCTTAGATCAGTCATATCATTTCGACCTTCCTTGTTAGACCTGTGCTTATGTCCCATTCACAAGCCTCAATTCGAAGAACTTTGTTCGGACCCACCACAACTACCAAACAAAATTGAAAGGTTGCGTCAAGCGAATTATTAACGGAGGCAACAATGTGAAATATTTTCGGGATAACACCTTAAAGAAGGTGTAGCGGTAAATAAATCCCCAAAATAAATAGCACTAAGTTTTCGACATTGGATGCTGACCATATGTTTTAGTGGACTCACCTAGCTGAAGGCGCTCGGTCAGTCATCCGCACCAGATCACGTGTGGTAACGCCGTGCTCAACATCAACCGCAATCGCTAGCCAGATTAGATCAGAGAATTCCGATATATTGGTCATCGCCAAATATACTCTTCCGATCTCCTCGACTCTGTCTTTTGATTTCTCTGGGCGGGAACGAAATATATTAGAAGGTGTTACTGGTAGAAGCGTTGTCAAACACTGAATACCTGTGACATCAACATTGGTGAAACCGACGTGATCTGGTACACCTAATTGCAACTGTGAGTCTGTTCCTTTTTGGGATTTTTAT